TTTTGCAAAACAATCACTAATCATTATTAATTGATAAGCTAAATTACAACTAGTTGGATAATAAATACCTGATAATTTATTTCATAAAAATGTTTTAAAAAATCTCTTATACAAATTGTCATTTCATAGTCTTCCTCAAATATAATATCAATAGGCATTTTTGCATTATAAAAATTATTAAGAATTTGTTTGTGAGAAATACAACTTTCTAAAATAGCATAGGTAGAACTCCACCTTTGTTTAACATCTAATATAAATTGTTTTTATTTTAAACCATAATTTGGACATAAATATTTAAATTCTTGTTTTCTTGCTCCAGAACTTTTAATATATATAATACAATTTTAATTTTAAAGATATGAGTATAAATAATATTTAAAGCATTTTGAATACATAAATTTAAGATGTGCACATGATATAAATTATTTACCATTTAAACATGGTTTTAATTGAGATTTTAAAATATTTATTGTTGAGTCATTATTCTAAGAATGATCAAAACTAATAGAAAATAATTTATTGTCAATTCCATAAGCATATAAAGTATTTAAAATACTAGCATCAATAGTTAGGCCAGTATGTGGCCGTTCAAGCCTAGTAAAACTTAAAATTCTTTTTTTTAAAAGCCAATTTTCATCAATAAAATGACTGGTAACACAAATATAACTTGTACTAAATTTAGAAGTCCAAATATAAAAAATAATTACAACTTTAGAGTTAAGATTTGATAACATATAAATTAAATTTTGTTTATATGAATAAAAAAATTAAAGCATATGATCTAATAGTAATCCTAGAAACTTTTTTAAATTATGGTTTTACAAAATTACGCAACCATATCTTCAGCTAACAAAAATGGTTGTTTAGCATGTACAATGTATTTAGCTAATTCTTGGTTTTTTTTTTCTTGAGAATATTTAAAAGTACCAAACTCCCTGCCCAATTTGTGTTTGTATTGTTTATTCTTCTTCTTCTTCTTCTTCTTCTTTTTCATGGGTGAGCAAATGCCTGCCCAAATGTCCAGTAACACCCTTGCTACAATAGCTAAAGTCTTTTCTACATTTTTTACAAATAGCTTTTTTTTCCCTTCCCCTAAACCTCCTTTACTTTAAATATTTTTCAAATTGGGCTAATCAACTTAGTGACTTTTTCTTTCCCCTAGTATCAGTACTAGGGGTGGAAGTTCCGTCAATATCAATAGCATCCGTATCAGTGCTAACACTACCACGTTGTGACTAAATATCGTTGACATTGAACATGTTGGGGAATTGATTTCAGGAGGAATCAATCGTTTTTTAATTATAAAAAATAAAAATTAATTTAATTGCACTTAATTGGATTGCCAGTTTGGAATCCCGACTTGATTTCAATGGTTGAAGCCTTTCAACTCCAAGAGTCTAAGCCTCCCAAATTGTTAACTTGAGATACTTGAGCTATTAAGCAAGCCTTCTTGTTGAAACTTCAATAATGTTGAGAATTGGAGAATCAGATAATGTATGAAAGGTTGAGAGATCAAGACTTGAGATAGTATGAGAACTAGAGAAGAGATTAAGAGAATTGTTGAATTGATATGATGAGAATGGTGGAGGATAGGGCTATTTATAGGAATTAAAAATAATTCAATTGCCCAAAATACCTTAAAAACTATTAATTTTTAGTTATTTGGAGGGGTATTTTGATCATTGTAAAGTTATTTATCACTTTACCCAAAATGCCCCCAAGCTAACTGTTATATAGCTGTTGGAGGGGGCAATTGTGTCATTTTTTCTCCCCCAAACCAAAATACATAAATACCCCTTATATAGCTTTTTATAGTTGTCGGGGGTATTTTTGTAAAAAGCCCCAAAAAGCTAAAACTAGCCGTTGGGGACCTCCCTAACAGCTAGTTCATTAGGCGGGCTTTCGGCCCGCTACGGGCTTGTGGGCTAGGCCGTGGATGGTCGTGCTATGTCATGTTGGCCCATGGACCTGGAACCCCAGGTCCAACATGGCTCGAACTATGCCAGACCTAGCATGACCCACGTGCTGTTGTGTCGAGGGTGGCACGACCCGATTTACACCTCTAGGTGCACCCACTATTAATGGATGAGTCATGAAGGTAACATTCATGAGTGTGAAAGAAAAAGTTTGCAATAAGCTGGCTGGTTGGACGAGAAATACCTCATCTTTGGCGGGAAGAATTACCTTGTTGATTTTAACTACCAGCATGATGCCTAAATTCCCCATGAGTTCCTTTAAGCTTTCTCAAAATTTAATTGAGGATATTGAGAGATGTCAAAGAAATTTCAACAAATATAAGTGATAAAAAACCTCTTCACCTCATAAAGTAGAGGAAGAATTGCTCTCCAAAATGCTGGGGTAGTTTAGGATTGAAAAACTTCCAATGGGTCGATGAATCCAATCTTGCAAAGCTAGGTTGGAAAATTATTAGAAATAAAGAAAACATTTGGGTCAAAGTCATCGCTGGTAAATATTTACAAAAGAGAGGATTTCTAGAATGCAAAGCAGAAAAGGTATATCTTGGAAGTGGAGTAAAATGCAAAGGAGAAAAGTCATCGCTGGTAAATATTTACCAGGTTACTAAGAACTCCCTAGTAAGGGGCTATGATGGGAGGTTGGCAACGGTAGGTCTACCAGATTTTGGAAAGGTAGCTGGTGGGCTATGGATGAGGCTTTCTCTGAGATCATACTCCGGGACGTCATTGAAAACCCTGACATGCGTGTTGATGAGATTATTGATCATTAAAGAAAAGTTTGGTTAAATGATAAGGTTCGTAATCTTGTTCCTCCAACCATTTGGGAAAAATTCAAACCTATATGTATCCCTACTGAACCTAAGGAAGATAAATAGACTTGGAGACTTAACCCAAATGGTAGATTCTCTACTAAATCGGCCTACAAAGTTAAATGCAACTCAATGTATTTTAAAGGAAATAACCAAAATTGAAATCCAGATATATGGAACCTATACTGTCCTCTAAAGTTGAAAGTGTTCATTTATCTCTTTCTAAATGAGAAACTTCCTACTAAATATCATCTTGGTAATAGAAGTTTTAACATAGATGGAGGGTGCAGTGGGGAGGAAGAAGACTTGGACCACATTTTTAAGAAATGTGAGTTTTCAAATCAGATATGGAGTTTGTTATCTCCAACTATAGTTGGTCCAAATAATTTCGATTCTTCTCTCACTGAGTGGTGGGATAAAATAACGAAGAGAGATATAGATGGAGATCCAAACATTAAAGAAATTTTATGAAATATCTGGAAAAGCAGGAATAAAAAAAACTTTCAGCAATGAATCTACCCCTCTCCATAAAAAACTCTCAAAAGAGCTTTAAAAGCTCTTTTAAAGCTCCACTGATTCCCTATGGAGGCTAATGCAAGATTATCTTCAACTACGTGATCGTCTAAACAAGGAGATCCATTATAGACACATTAATCACGAGGCAAATTAACCATGTTGCCGACTGGCTGGCTAATTAGGCTATTTCTTCTCACGGACTTGTTAACATAAAGCCAAACAACCTTCTGGGTCCTCTTGCGTTTATTTTCTTTAATGATTTGAGGGTATGTGCTACCCTGTCTTGTGTAGCACCTACACCTACTAGATTTATTAAAATTAAAAAGGCTTTAGAGGAAAAACATTTGAGTAAAAGGGTTGAGATAATTTTGCTTATTAAGCAGCACGATGAAATTTTGAACCAGCAAATCAGTGGAAACTTTATTGAAAGCAAATTACTATTGTAGTTGCTTGTGCTTGTGTTTTATTTATTTTTAGCGTAAAGAGACAATCCAAAAGATGTCAAACAAGAGACTTAGCAGCTATGGATCTATCTACCCCCACTCTAGTGTTGCCTTTCTTTCTTCGTAGGCAATGACACTATTGGTTGTTCTTCATTGGTGACAACATTATTTGTTTCATATTCTCCTTAAGGCTGAGTTTGGAAGCGATGTAAATGGAGTATAAATCTTGGTTTAGGGTAAATTTACGCTTTGTTTCAGTTTTGCTTGTGCTTTGGTAACAATACATTTATGCATTAATAAATGACAAAAAACACATTTTTCAATACATGTTTACACCAATAATGAGATATAAAAGTACATCAATAAAAAAGAAATAAATTTGCATTCAACCAGGCTTTTGATAAAAAAGGCATATACTTTATTGGAATTCTTATTTGCATATGATAAGAAGATTAGTTTGACAATACAAAACTAACCCAACTTTGTATTTGCATTCATACTCTATTTGCATCGTTTCCAAACACAACCTAAGTGAAAAACAAAGAGAAAACAAAGAAAATCTTCATTAGGGTTCAGTTATGAAGGATTAGGGCTTTCCTAATGATGATTTTATTTTGCTAGTGATGACCTTATGTTGAATCTTCTTTACCAACACAAACACAAACACATAATCTTAAGTAGAGTAGACGAAGAACATACCCCACTAAAGTACGGCCATTTTGGTCATTTAGAATTTTTACCTAGTGTTTCTAACCTATGTTGTTTTCTTGAAAAATGGTGTTACATCAGCACCACGTCTAAAATTCGTTTTTTAGGCATGTTTGGTTATACGTTTTTATTGAAAAATGTTTTCTCGTACCATGCCTTAAAAATAAAAAAAATGTAAGGTTTGAAAAAACATCCCTTTTGGTATTTTGTCATTTCTACTGTTGCCAACAATACTATGCTGATGTGGCATTGAGAAACATACTCGTGTGGTAGCAACCAGCAACGGTCCGGTCCGAAACAAAACAAAGGTGTTTTCTGAGAAACCAACAATCATTGCAAACACATTTTTTTTTCTCAAAAAACACATTTAAGGAAACAACATTGGTTCCAAATGTCTTTAATCTCTCTCACATTCAAATTGCGAATGGGCAGTTTGGTAATTTTATCATCCATTATAACGTTGGTTAACGGGTGCTCCACTAAAGTAAAAGGCACCTATATGTAATTTACCCTTTAAAAGTAAGGCGCCACCGCGACAAATAAAAAAATTTTCATGGGAACCACCCATTCTCAGAACTCAGAAGAAACCGATTTTTAGGCAAAATAGCACGGTAGCAGCAAAATCCAAAGTAGTTTTCTCTCACCTCTTTAATGGCGAATTGGCGACTGTGTCGTCCAGGCCTAGTCATTTTCTACACTTTTATAAAGACAGAAAACTCTAAGAACTGATACGCCAAAACAATTACGGCTATGGAGGAGGAGAGGTTCTTCTCTTCCAGAGAAAACCCTAGGAATTTGGGGTTTTTATCGGAACGTGGCGCTAGCAACAGTGGCAGCAGCAGCAACAACAACTGCAAGGCCGTGCCCAATGATCTCGTTCAAAAGCCTCCACCCCCAATTCTCGAGCGATTTAGGTCTCTGTTGAAAGAGAGAGAAGAGGAGATGAGGGTCTCGGAGGATAATGACGTTCGGGCGCCGAGCACCGAAGAGACTGTTCGGCTTTATGAAGTTGTCCTATCGGAGCTCACTTTCAATTCGAAGCCTATTATTACGGAGCTTACGATTATCGCCGGGGAGCAGAGGGAGCATGGCGAGGGGATTGCTGGAGCAATTTGCGCCCATATTATTGAGGTACGTAGTGCGTTAGTGATTTGGAAGGATAGGAGTAGCTACGATTGCCTCGTGTTTGCTCTCTGCAGATTAATGTGCGGAAAGTTTCGTTTAGTTAATCATTGATTTTTCTATTACACCTCTTTTTATTGGTTTGTAAGAGTACAGGGAAAGTTGGGTTTCTAAGTTCTATAAGTAGAGTAGTTCTTGGTTTCTTGCTCATCCGAAAAAAATGGACCAGGTGTGGAGGGGGACTAAACAAGGGATTATGCCTTTTTGGTGTTTGGGATCATCATCTTTCTTAACAAGTATTTTAAGCATTCAGAGATGCATAAGAAACTTATTTTTGCATTAAGAAATGTGGATATCCGAGATCACAATTTTGTTTATAGGCAATTAATAGATTTATCAACAAAGAAAAATGAAGCAGAATTAGTGCACTGTTAGATTAATCCATTAATGCAAGTGAATACTGTTTGCCCCATTTTTTTAAGCTCATCTGACAGCCTGCCAACGGACATAGAGATCCTTGTGAATAAAATGCTTCAACTGCACAAATGCATGTGGGTATAGGATATCTTCCAAAAGGTTGGCTCAACAAATGAGATGACATTGGTGAAGTTCCTTTGAAGCATATCTTCTTAACCCACTATTTTTTTTTGATAGGAAATGGTAACTTTCATTAAGATATTAAAACAAGATATTACAACTCCAGCATTCCAAGCTGAAATGCTGAACCCAAATTCATAACCACTGTTACGAAACAGCCCAGAAAAGTTCACTCCTGTTTGATCCTTGTTTGGCTAGAGCATCAGCCAGGCCATTTGCTGTTCTTCTAACCCATTGGAAGTTTGCTTCAATTTCCCGTGCAAGGCACCAGACTTCTCTCATAGCTTGTCTGTGTTTCCAGATTCCCAAATTTCCAGATTTCATCCAGTCTATTACTAATTTTGAATTCCCTTCCACTTCAATCTGGTGTAGTCCCATCTGTTTAGCCAATCTCAGACCTGCAACAGTGCTAACACCTCAGCTCTTAACGAATCACCCACTCCTATAGGCACCGAAAAAAGAGCCAAGATTTTGCCTTCCCCATCTCTAAAGACTCCTCTTACACCTGAGGGCCCCGGGTTACCAAGGGAGCTTCCATCAAAATTGAGCTTTACTTTTTGTGTGTAGAGGCTGCCCAACTCTCTTGAATTGTTGGGCTAGATCTTGAAGAGTTTGCTACTAAATTGCAGCCTCTGATTATATCATCCACTGTGATTTCCTTAAACAACTCATCTGATTTTACCCAATGTACTATCTTGATAGTGATGCAATCAATCAAGTCCTCCCTCGATTTCCTTTTCCCTTAAAAGACTCTATTGTTTCTTTCCTCCCAAACTGTCCATAAGATTGTGGCTCTTGTGTCTCTCCTCAACATCCTTCCCCTTATTTTTGGGCTGTCTAAAGAAACTTGCTTTATAAAGACCTGCTACATTGTGGTGGGGGGGGGGGCAAAGAGAGAAGAAAACCACTCCCTAATAAAAGAGACAAAAGTGCGAGAAATTAACAGGTGCTCAGAAATTTCACCACAACCATAGAAAAGGGAGCAGATGTGAGGGGAAAGACATTGATTTGGCCTTCTTTTTTGTAGTACATCACATGTATTGATCTTTGACAGAGCCACTTCCCAGCAAAAAGCCCTCACTTTTGGAGGTATTGGACTACACCACACTTATTTAGCTGGGAAAGACACAGCTGCAGATGAAGAGTGGAGGAGGGCACTGAAACAAGAGGAACACGAATACAGACCAAAGGAATAGGCTGACCAAATTCTACTATCTTCACAAGAAGCATCTAGAAAAATAGTGCTCAAAAGGGAAATAAATTCATCCATTGCCCCCATTTCAGCTTCCGTAAGGCCTCTCCTCAAACCCATGTCCCAAGAATCTCCATTACGATTAACAAACACGATCACTTTCCCCTTGTTCAAAAAAAGGGAGTACAAGGAAGGGAATTTGTCCATTAGAGGGCTATCCCCCAACCAAACATCTTCCCAGAACAACACTTTATTTTTGGAACAAGCATCATACCTGAGAAACGGTTGCAGAGTAGGGATGACTTTGGAAATGGCCTTCCATGGTGATAAGCGAAAATCCCTAGGGTCGAGTCCTGCCTCCAAACCATTAGATGCCCTGCCATGAAAACTTGCTATCACTCTATGCACAATCTATCCTGCTCACAGGGCCATCTCCACACCCACTTTCCCAACAATGCTACATTTTTCTTCTTGATATTGCCAATGCCTAAATCCCCCTGTTCCTTGCTTCTGGTCACTACCTCTCACTTTACCAAATGATCCTTCTTAGTATCAACTTGGCTCCCATAAGAAATCCTTCATAATTTTCTCTAACTTCCTGGCCACGCCCATTGGAATACTAAAGGTTGAGAGGAAGTACACCGATAAATTTGCTAAAGTGGGCTTAATTAAAGTGATTCTCCCCCCAAGAGAAATGTGATTCCTTTTCCAACCTGCTAACCTCTTCTCAAACTTCTCTATAACTGGGTTGCCAAAAACTCTCCAAACAAGGATTCCCCCCAAGCGTTATGCCCAAGTAGTTCATTGGACAGACACTCACCTCACAACCCTACACCAGTTAAAAAAGTGATTTTCTCTGTCCTAATTATTCTTGCCACACAACTCTTACACCAATTATTTAACAAAAAAAAAAAGAAAAAACTCTTACCCCGATTCACCTTTAGATTAGACACTCTTGCAAACCGGTTTACTAAAGCTTTAAGATGCTCCATTTCCTCCCTTTCCCCCTCACAAAAGAGAATTAAATCATCCGTGAACTGCAAGTGAGTAATCACCACCCCCTCCCTAGTCCCTCCCCACTTTCCATCCTTTTAGCAAGTTCCTAGCATCAACCTTAGCAATCATAACACTCAATACATCAGCAATCAACGTGAAAAGAAAGGGGGATAAAGGGTCTCCTTGCCTTAAGCATCTTTTTGCCGGGAAAAAAATCTCTAGCTATGCCATTTACCAGAATAGAGTAGTGGCTGGATGAGATACATCCTTTCACCCATCTACACCACCTCTCTCTGTAGCCCCTATGCATTAGGATTTCCAAAAGGAACTCCTAATCCACCAAATCGTATGCCTTCTTAACCCACTATCATGATTTATTCTCATTATATAGCAATTCTACAGCTTGTGCAGCTCAGTGCTGTCAAAATTTTGACTAGGCAGGTGAGGGCCAGATGGACTGCATCACTAACTAGCCGGTCCATACTCATGATGCTGTCTTATATGACTAGGGCTTTAATTGGGTTGCATCAGGGTTGTATTCAACCACATCCAAATAAGATCTGATTATTTAAAACCTAAATCTGAATTCAATTTGCAATCCAATCAGATTTAAGTCTAAGGGTCTCGGATCAGATTTGGATCCTATCAGATTTCAAATTGGATTTGGATTTGATCCAAGTTCACTTTATTGTTTCTGGAATAAAAGAATAATTAAAAAATTTAAATGGTTAATCACTTTTTTTTGATAAGTAAAAGGTTAGGTTAATCACTGTTAACAATTTAACATTTACATCTAAGTTTTTATAAATATATAAGATGCTGAATTTTTTATATTTAGGGATCCATACTTGGTATAATGGTAAAATCTTGGGCCGCAAGTTTGAGAATGTGGGTTCAAGTCTGAGAGCGGCCACTTTGTGCAAAAAAAAAAAAAAAGCCAAAGGTTGGAACCATATCCAGTCTACCCCCTCCCAAGACTCCAAATGGCTAGGACCAACATTTGGTAATAGCCTTATAAAATACTGAATTTATTAATTACAAGCTTTATATAATTATATATTTTATCTATGCATGTGTATACACATCATTATATAATACGTATAATACAAAATTTAATTGGACTCAGATCTTAAATGGATCGAATGTCAGTCGGGATCAGGTGTTAGACTTTTGGACTGTTGACAGCCCTGCCTAGGATGACTAAGCATCGACTGGGTCAAGTTGTTAAATTGAAGTTTTATTTGTTTATGTGTATCTACTGTTAATTAAAATAATAGAGAATATGCTTATATTTTATTATATTGATGATGTTTTAAATATTTGTGGTGGAACATGATTGGATGGTGATATATAAAATAAAAAAAGGCATAAAACAAAAGAAGGCAGTGAAGGAGTTCTTTTAAGTTTTCTTCCAATCAAGGCTTTTTTTTTTTTTTTTGCAGAGAAGAGTTGCCACAAATAAAGGGCACATTGAATAGTCAAGGTTGCGACCTTTCTTTGGAAAACAAAGGTTGTGGTTCCCTATACTAGCTTATCTAGCCTAACTTCTTCTTTGCAAAGACTGTAAACCTAATATTCAATATCATTCTTTTCTTCCATAATTGTAGTCTATGTTAATTATTTTTTGATAGCAATAACTAGTCAGTTCATTGGAAAGAGAAGCCAAAATGTCTAGTCATCGCTTCACCACATCGATAATGCTGGTTCACCTTTGCAGTAAACATGTGCTGAAAAGCTTATCTTAAAAGGCTTTTTGTTTCTTGCTTCTTAGCGGCCAACATGGTAAGGTAGGGGTAGGGCATGAAACCTGTCAATTCTGGGGTTGATCCAGCCATATCCGTATCCGTTGGTAAATGGGTTGGGGTTCTAGCCAGATTGTTTAAGGTAGATCCATACCTGGTTAATTTATGTATGTGGGTTGTAACCTAAACGAAATACATGAGAGGTAGGATCCATGCTGGGTTCACAATCTGATTGTATAGGGATAGATTACTTTTCTCTTTATAGACTTGTGCTACATTCTCTCTTTACTGCTTGTTTAGTGTCCTTGAATTCTAAATATCATATGAGAACCTAATGTTACAGTTGCCTTCATTTTCTGAAGTTTCATTTTACCATCTTCATCCTGCAAGTTACTTCTAGAAGAGTCACTGGGATTGTTTACTGTTATGTGTGGACAATTCATGGTACTTGCTTTTTGCAGGTCCCAGTTGAACAAAAGCTACCATCTTTATATCTTCTGGATAGTATTGTGAAGAACATTGGCCGTGAATATGTGATGTATTTTTCTTCCCGTCTCCCTGAGGTGAGTGGATAACAATTCAAGATGCATGCAATTGTCTTAATTGCTCTATGTATCTGTGTGTAAGTGTGTTTATATCTAGATGTATGCATACATCTCTAAATTGATTGCCAATTCTTCTTTAGATAGCCTGCTTATTATTTCCATTTGGAGAGAGAATGTGGCTACTACTGCAGTCCATCCATTAGATAGGGTACCTCTAGACCTTTGGAAGTTATTGGAGGCAATAGTTGAGGAAAAGGCCCTGAGGATTGATCTTGAGGCTCGTGCCTAAAGTCTAAGGGATATGCTCAGACAATGAGATGCCTTATGTCAAGAAAAGTGCTTCAAATATCAACTGTAATAGGATTATCATTAGTAGACTGAGTTAAAAGCTAGTTATAAATTTTCTGTGTCCATGTGCTTTTGTAGAAATGTAGTTTTTTAAGCTCCTAATGCTATAACTTTTGCTTATAAACTTGAGAAAGTTTTCTAGAAACATTAAATTAGTTAATAAACAGATCATTAGAATAAATATAACCGCACATTTAAGGCTCAAAAGACTATTAACAAAGAACTGCATAAATCAAATCGGAAAAAATTAAGTGATTGTTATATATATGTTTTTCTTTTTCTCCCTTTTGGTCTTTAGCCATTTTCTCTTCTTTATATATGCCATTGCTTGCCATTTCAACTTTTGTCTTTATTGCTACTATATGTTTTGATTAGATTGAGAATATTCTTTTGTAGTTATGCTAATTTTTCTCTCTTTTGAATTATAGTGACTTAGTGCAATCATATCAAAGTAGTAAGCCAACTTTCGGAAAATATTTTAGAAGATCATGATGATTTTAATGAAATATTGAAAAAAATTAATAATATTCTAAAATTTTAAAATTTTCTAAAATTTTAAATTTTAATTATATAGTCTATCAATGAAATCTGAAATATCGCTGACATATTGGCAAAATATTGGGGATATTTGAAAAAAAAAATATTCCTGGAAGATTTCATATTGCGGCTATTGCCACCTAGCAAATGGGGGATATATCGGGGATATTTCGCCAAATGTTGTTGATATTGGGAAGGTGCCAACTATCTGGGGTTTTTGGAGGGTTATACTAGATATGATCCTAACCTTCGACTTTTTTATTTTTTTGGCACAAAGTGTCTGCTTCAGACCCAAACCTGCCTTCTCATTCTTGTTATCCCGAGATTTTACCATTACACAAGCCAAATCTCTTATATGGACGATGGCCCTTGACAAATGTCTCTCAAGAGCAAATCTGTTGAGAAGAGGCATTCCAATTTTGGATCCAAATTGTGTTCTTTCTGCGACTGCCGCAGAAACTACAGAGCATCTATGTCTTCATTGTCTGTTCTCCTTTCAAATTTGGATGCATTTTCTTCAAGCTTTGGGTGCTAAGTGGGTCATGCCGAGATCAGTTAAGGAGCACCTCTGTAGCTGGAAGTTGAAGGGTCTGAATAAGAGAGGAAAGATCATGTGGAAGACAATCCCAGCTGCTGTTCTGTGGTCCATTTGGACTGAGAGGAATAGTAGAATTTTCTGTAATAGGTCTAAGGGTCTTGATGTTGTAATTCAGAGAGCTGTGGGTAAGCTGATCTCTTGGATTTCCATATCTGGGGAATTCAGGGATCTTAGCCTACCAGTATTGTTTCAGTCTTGTTTCTGGTGGAATCTGTAATCCCAGATGCTTTTCAGACTGCCTTATTGGGTCTGAATTGCAGTTTGGTTTTGTTTTCTGTGTTTGAATAAATTTTACTTTACCTCTTCCAAAAAAAAAATAATGGGATTTTATTAAATCAGAAACTGATTCAGGTTTACTATCTCATACAAGAGCCCTTGGAGAGGCATGAGCTGCAGCCTCTCCTGACTAGTGCAAAGAAACTAGGAAAAATAGTACTGAAATCACAACTGAGCCCAGAACAATTTTTCCTTTTTCTTTTTTTTTTGAAAAGGTCAGGTAAATTTATTAAGAAGAGAAACAAGATACGACAGAAGTCAGCCCAAAGAAGGCTGAACCAACCACTCCAACAATTACAGACACCAGATTGATTGAGTTCTCAGATACTGAAATACATTCAAGTGATTGAAGGCTGGATTAACAGCAATCCAGGAAGCAAGTTTGCCGACTACACACTGCACAATCTTTTCAGGGTTCTTTTTGTTACAGAACACTCTGTTGTGCCTCTCAGTCCAAATAGACCACAGAACAGCTGCAGTGATTGTCTTCTAAACCACTTTTCCTCTTTCCTTCAACCCACTGACTTTCCAACAGCATAATAAGTCTTTGATAGATCTCAGCATGACCCAATTGAGTCCCACCGCATTAATAAAATGAGCCCATACCTGGGCTGCTACAGGACAATGCAGACACAGATGATCAGTAGGCTCTGGATGCAGTCCACACAGCCCACAGGAGATATCTGAAATCTGTAACCCTCTCCTCACAAGGTTCACTTTGGACAGACATTTGTTGAGGGCCATAGTCCAAACTAGGAAGTTAACTTTAGAAGGACTGACAGAATTGAGAATTCCAAATCTGCTTATTTGGAAAATTCTCATCACCTGAACTGCTTAGCTTAAGAGCCAAAGATTTCACTGAAAAACACCCATCCTTACTTTACTTCCAAATCCACTTATCATCTAAATTGATGTCAATATTCTGATTTTGAAGAATTGCCAGCAAACTCACAACCTCTTCCAGCTCCCAATCAAACAAATTCTTCCTGAACTGAGAAGCCCAGGTCACTACATTTTCTGAGGTGGAATAACAATCAGCAATCAGGACATCTTGGTTTACAGCACATTGATACAAGAGAGGGAAGGAATCAGCCAGGGGAGTTTCCATGCACCATGGGTCCTTCCAAAAGCAAATTCTGTCACCTTTGCCAACTTTGAAGCTTAGACCTTCCACAAAAGAGGGGAAAATTTTCAGAACACCTTTCCAAATGGAGCAGCCCCAAATTGGAAAGGGATCCTGAGAATTCCAACTGCCCCTAGTCACCCCAAATTTAGCTGCAATAAGATTCCTCCACCAAGCACCTCTTTCTTGAGCAAATCTCCACAGCCATTTACTAAAGAGAGCCAAGTTGAAGACCTTGATTTTCCTAAGACCCAAGCCATCTTCCTCCATAGGGAGGCAAATTTGATCCCAACCAACACGATGAATTTTCTTATCTTCCTCCCAACCCCTCCAAAGAAAGTTCTTTCCAACTTCTTGGCCACTTTAGAAGGAATTGGGAAGAGGGACAGGAAATAAGTGGGAAGATTGGTAAGTGTACTTTCCAAAAGAGTAACTCTACCTCCAAATGAAAGGTATTTAGCCTTCCAAGAGGAGATTTTCTTCTCCATTCTTTCTATAATTGGATCCCTAATGGCAGGAAGAAAAACCACATAACAGGCCATTTAGCATACTCCACATTTGTCACTTGACCAATTGGAATTATCTAGCTTTTACTCAGACCAACTTTCAGCTCCGTGACAACTTCAAACCAGCTGAAAATCCCAAGAAGAATATCCAACTGAGCAGGAGAGGCATCAACAAATCAAAGAGTGTCATCTGCGAATTGTAGGATATTTACCTTCTCCCCCCTTCCGGACTGATAGCAAAACCTTCCCATAAACCAGCTTCAGCAACTTTCAGACTGAAAGAGTTAGGATTTCTGTAACGCAATTCTTCCCTATTTGCCCCTTGCTTGGTTAACACATCAGTCAAAGCATTTGGTGATCTCCCCACCCACTAAATAGAAACTGACATATTCCTTGTCAGCCATTTAATCTTCTTAATTTCATTCTTATAGCACCAAACAGACTCCTCAGGTTTCATTAACCAGCCCACCACCACCTTGGAGTCCCCTTCAATAATTAGTTGTTGTACATCCATTTGGTTTGCAAGCTGCACCCCTTGTACATCAGCTAGTAATTCCGTCCTAACAGAGTCTCCAAGTCCCAAAGGACCCGAGTAGAAAAGAACAACCTCTCCAAGCTCATTCCTCAGCCTCACCCCCATAATTCCAGATGGCCCTGGATTGCCCAAGCTGCTCCCATTCAAATTCAACCCTACTATCTAACCCCAAGTGATCTCTTCCCTATCGGCCTTAATGATTCTACTCAACACATCAGCTACTAAAGTAAAGAGGAAAAGAGAGTGGATCCCCTTGTCTGATACCCTTACAAGCTGGAAAGAAATCCTTTACCACACCACTAACCAATATAGAGTAGTGGCAGGTATTAACACACCCAGGTATCCATTTACACAATCTCTCCCCAAAACCATAATTCCTCAACACCTCCGGAAGGAACTGCCAATCTACCTAGTCATAGGCCTTTTCAAGGTCCAAATTGCAAACAAAGCCCCTTTGCCTAGACCTTTTCATCTCCTCTACACATTCATTTGCAATTAGAATCCGATATGTTATTTTTTTTTCTTGAATGAAAGCCCCTTAATTTTGGTTGATGATGGAAGGAAAGACTTCCAAACTAATAGACCTAAAGTCTTTTGGGTGGTTAGCATAAATCTTCTTAGGGATTAAAGCCAAGAACATGGCATTGATTCCAGGGCTTATGAAGCAATTTTTTGCAAATTCCTGAAATACAACACAAATCATCTTTTAGCACCTCCCAACAATCTTGATTAAAAGCCATTGTAAGTTTATCTAGGTCTGGAGCCTTAGATTTATCCATTAGAAAGACAGCATGCTTGATCTCTTCTTCCTCAAAATTCCTTTCTATCCACCTTGCTTTTCGTCCTCCACCCTAAGCCGATCTATCCTTTCCACAACTGCTCTTTCATTCAAAGGCCTTCTAAATATTGATTTAAAATTGTCCATGAATTTCCTGGCCATGTCGTCTTTGGTTGGTAATCACCTCTTCATCTACCTCTAGTTTGGTCACAAAATTCTTCTTCCTCCTTCCATTGGCCAGGTCATGAAAGAACCTAGTGTCCCATACCCTTAATCCACTTATGCCTAGATTTCTGCCTCCCAACTAATTTCCTCTCTCGGAAGTACCTCCTTTTATATGATGATTAATTCATCTATACTTTTTTCCTACATATAAAACTATTCTCCCGATTATTTTTATAGTTAATCTTATTTTAGTTCATTTTTTTCTTAAAAGAGTGAGATCTCCTGATGCTTATGCCTCATTCATTGGAAGATCTTAGTGCCTTGTCTCACACCTGTCTTTTAAAACGTTGGACTGAATTGGCCATGGGTTCTCTTTCCTGGCTCTTGTAAGTCCTAAGATCTATGATTCTATGGAGCTAATGTAAAATCCAAGAAATGAAAGCTTCAGTCTCTTAGTTCTGAAGAAGTCTGGAAAAAGATTTTGGTTGTCCATGTATTGGGCTGAGATTTGCTTTTGTTGAAAGAGTCTAGAGAATGGAATGTGTAGGGAGCCCTTTTAGGATGCAATTTTACTTCCACTTATATGATTCCATGTTGTCTAGAACATTGCTCTAGTTAGTCTACTAAATATGTGGGCTTGTTAATTGTGTCCTTTGGTGAAGAAATCTAAACAGATGTGGCACATTTCCAAAAAAAAAGTAAATAAATAAACAGATGTGGCAATATGATTTCCCCAACTAGGTGACCACTAGTGGTGTCAATTGGACTGGATTTGGTCCAACCCAATCCAGTCCAATATGAGTCCACTTACAAATGGACTGGATCCAATCCAGTCCAAATCCAATACAGTGCAAATCCAATCCAATCCATTAAAATGTAAATGGACTGGATTGGATCCAATCCAAACTGAATGAAATATAAAAAATTATATAAAAAAAGAACATATAAAAAATTATAAAAATATATTAAAATGAAGAAAATCTGAAAATTATAAAAAGCACTTTTGTAGAAGTGCTTTGATAAAAGTACTTTCATATAAGTGTTTTCGTAAAAGTACTTTTATAAAAGTACTTCCGTATAAGTGCTTTTATAAAAGTACTTTTGTATGTGTTTTGTAAAAGTACTTTTGTAGAAGCGCTTTCATAAAAGTTCTTTTGTAAAAATGCTTTTGTAAAAGTACTTCCGTAAAAGTGCTTTTGTAAAAGTACTTTTGTAAAAGTGCTTTTATAAAAGTACTTCCATAAAAGTGCTTTCATAAAAGTACTTTTATAAAAGTACTTCCGTAAAAGTGCTTTTATAAAAGTAGTTCTGTAGAAGTGCTTTTATAAAAATACTTCCGTAAAAGTACTTTTGTAAAAGTGATTTCATAAAAGTACTTTTAAAGTACTTTTATAAGTGCTTTCGTAAAAGTACTTTCATAAAAGTGCTTTCATAATACTTTTATAAAAGTGCTTTCGTAAAAGTACTTTTATAAAAGTGCTTTTGTAACAGTGCTTTTATAAAACTCTGTAAAAGTGCTTTCATAAAAGTACTTTTGTAAAAGTGCTTTTCTAAAAGTACTTTTTCATAAAATTACTTTTATAAAAGTGCTTTTGTAAAAGTGCTTTCTTTAAAGTGATTTTATGCCGACTTCAGTTTTGATAGGTTTCAAATTGGACAAGGATTTGTCTTCATGATCGGATTATTGGAAATTTGGTTTAGGTCCAATTCAGACCAATAAGAATATGGACCAATTTATTTTGGATTGATCCAATCCAATAATTATAATGGATTGTCTAAATCCAATTTGATAAGGTTTGGATCAGATTGGATCCAATCCAAAACCAGTCGATTGACACCCCTAGTGACCACCTAGGTGTTATGGATCAATCACCTAGAACTTGTTTGGAACCAATGCATTTTTTAAGTGTTCCGTTTCACCAAGGTTCAGGAGCTCCACAGCCCATGTTTTGAAGAACACCAAAAAGGTCCTATTTGGTGGAGATGCATGCTGATTGGCTGTTTAAAGTGCTTTGACCTTATTAGAGGTGTTAATATTAACACTAGAATAGGTGACAGGGCAGGTCAGATCTGTCATTATATGTCAGGTCAGCAGATGTGAGAAATTTGTCGAGTTTGTTTTCCCTCTCTTTTTTCTCTACTTTGTTTTCCCTCTCTTCTCTTTCTCTCTTTTCCTCTACTCTCTCTACCTTATTCTTTCTCTTTCACTTTAGGCCTCGTTTGTTTTGCATTACCTGGGTAACACGTTTCCTTGGGCAAGTGATTTCTGGGGAAACATTGCCTGAGTACTCACAAATACAGCGTTTGGCTGTGTGAAACATTACCCAGGTAAGGCGTGAGAATCCATGCAATTTGAGTTTTTGGTGGGTTGGGTAACTTACCCATCCTCCAGGAGAGTATTGGTGAGAGGGAGGTTAACCAATATTCTCCGGAAAAAAAGTTTTCCATGGGCCCTATTGTAGTGGTGACTGAATGCAGGATTGTTGCAATTCTGTGGGACCCACCCACTTACCCCCTCCAATTTTACCTGAAAGCGAATGGGGCCTTATTGGTCAGGGTTGATCTTACATCTTAGGTTATATTACAAACTTTATTTTTATATTATTTTCATTGTGGCAAGGATATGTCATCTTAGAAAAGCTGTTTCAATGTGCCACATCACTGGTGATTCAAGAAACCCTCCCTCTCAAAAATCCCAGGACATAATCATTGTAGCAATGTTCTCTCTCTCTCTCTCTCTCCCCCCTCTCCCCCCCAAAGAACGGCTTGCCAAAAGCAATTAAGTGGTGTTTCCATTTTTTTCTGATGTGGCAAGCTGGTGAAATGGAATGGAATAATTGTGAAACACATTGGTGCCAAACAGAACTCTAGACAACCAACTAGGTGGTATAGAACATCTTTGTGGGAGCAAATAACTAATTATGTCCTCTTTATATATTGATGCAAGTGTTTATAAGCTATTTTAGGTTGGTAGGAGTGTATGCAGTGCTAAAAATTAGGACTCGTAATCCTTGTGTGTCTGCTTTTTCCTTGGAATTAGGGAAGCTATTTAAAAAATATTCTCCAGTTTTCCCAAAAAGGCAGTTGTAAATTGTCATTAATCATCTGATGATTTAATTGATGGTTCAGTGGTTTATAATTAATATGTAAATACATAATACTTATGCATGCTTAGTTGCTTACATAATATACAAAAATAAAATATGTATATATTTATTTATACATCTTTCACCCGAGTGAAATCCAGTTTTTTCCTAGGCATAAACTCTCCTTTTCCAGCTCAAAGCACGTAGTTATCATGTAGCTGCGTCAACTACACTAGCTTGCCCCCACATACTACTTTTGGTTCGTTTTATCCATTCTCAAGGTGGAGTATGGGCCTGATTTTGGCCTAGGGATCAAATAAATGGCCAATCCGGAGGGTACCCTGTCAAATGGATGGTCCCAACAACCACAGGATTCCTCCAGGTAGCAAAAATAAAGGATGGTCAAGCAAGTTTATCTGACCTGATTAGGAAACCTCTTTTGATATACACATAAATTTACATGCATATACCCACATTATGTGTTTCTAACTTGCTGCTCTACAATGTTGCTAGGTGTTCTGTGAAGCGTACAGACAAGTCCACCCTAACCTATGTCCAGCCATGCGCCACCTTTTTGGCACATGGTCAGCAATATTTCCTGCTAAAGTTCTTCGCACAATTGAGATTGAACTACAATTTTCTCCACGTGCAAAAAATCAGTCTTCTGGTTTGAAAGCTGTGAGGTCATCTGAAGACTCTCCATCTCCTCGGTCATCTCATGGTATACATGTTAATCCGAAGTACTTGGAGGTAAGACATCAATTTTAAATTCATTTATGGAAAATCTAAGTCTCTTGTGGTCCTTCTCCTGGCTCTCTTCTCATTTCATCCTGCATGCATGTACAAATATTATCTTATAATTACTCGAGCTTTTGATTTATTCCTAATCTATTATCAATGGGTTGATATGCTTTAGTTGTCTACAAGTACAAAGTACAAAGTGACATCCTGGATGCCATTGACCTTTTCTGAAGATGATACTTTATTACCACCTAATAAGCTGATATATGGCACGTACTCTTTTCGTCCACTCTAGACTGAATATCAGAATCTATTTTCTATAAAAAATTGTGATGTCATCCCCCTACTGGTGACTAGTGATTTTTTTTTTTTTTATATTAAACAAGGCATTCATTAAAACACACACACACACACAAATGTATACAAGAAGTATATGGTCCAAACCCTACAAGTGGAGGGCAGTGGTGAGAGGAATAAAGAAGAAGAGGGGTTGGGTGAGAAAGGGATGAGAAAGGGAGGGGAACTGGCGATTGCGGGTTCTAGGGAGAAAGGTGCTTGGATAGGGTCTACTTTAAGAAGAGGAAGACGAAGGATTATTGTAGTAGAGACCGGTGGGGCAAGTTAAAGGATAGTGTTTGTTTCAAGCTTCTAGTAGCAAGTCGTAATTCAGATGGTGATCAACAAAGTTAAGTCTGATAAAGCCTTCTTCAGGTGGTGACCAACAAAAAATAATCTTTTCTTTCTTTGAAGAGCTTCTTGCCAGTTGCCACTAACATCCAATTCCTCCAAATATAATCAAAGGAGAAATATGAGAAGTGAGAAGATGTCTAGAATTTTCATCCAATGTATTACCCTTGCTGCTATGCATTCCATCACTATTTCCATACTTCCTTTCTTTTTCTAGGAAGATTCTAGTATTTCTTTTTTCCCATATAATCAGAGCAGAGCTGCCCTAGTACTCCTCCAAAGAATTCTACCCCTCTTTTGGGCCATCTAAAGGTAGAAGGATCAAACAGACAATGTAGTTCTAGCAGCAAATTTCACTTGCACCCAAAAAGAGAGAAAAACCTTTCCCAAATATCTACAACAAATGAGCAGGAGATTAGTAGGGGGTAGCAATTTTTCCCATCAGATTTATAGAGAACACATTGGTTTGGAGACAAGCAAAGAAGAGGCCTTCACTTTTGTAAATTATTCACAATATTAATATTCCCATAAAAAAATTTCCCAGAAAAGGCAGTAATTCTAGGAGAACAGGTTTAGACCGAATTTCCTTAGAATGAAAACCTAAGGGGGAGGGAGATGAGCACAAAGAAGAAAGGAAGGAAGAACAAGTCAAGGACCCATTAGGGTGAGGAGACCAAATGTGCCTGTCAGAAGTAGAAGGGTCCACCCAAACTTTTTCATGGATTTTTAGAAGGTTGGCTATTGAATTGAACTCTTGTTCTCTCAAGCCCCTTCTAAAATCCAAATCCCAAGATATACTGTTAGCTAGAGACTTGGAGCAAACAAACATAGTAATTGGCTCCTTTTTAAACAAAGAAATAGCATGCAAGGAAGAAAAACATCCTTAAGTGCAGCATTCCCAATCCACACATTTTTCCAAAATAAAATTTTGTTTTTGGAACAAGCTTCATAATTGAGCAGATTGAAAAGCTGAGGGAGAATACTTATGATAGCTTTCCAAGGAGAGATCAAGGTTGCCCTATGAGATACTCTAGCATACCAACCATTATCTGTCCTACCATGAATCCACCACCTTGCACTACAATCTCTCCCTCTCAAGAGGCCACCTCCACAACCATTTACCTAGAAGGGCTAGATTCTTTTTATTTTTTTATTTTTTTGATGAATGAATATAATCTATTAAACCAGAAATATGAGGCAATACAGGAGACCCAAGAGGAGGCACGAGTTGTTACCTCTCCTAGCAAGTATTACATCAAATTAAAAAACAGAAATAGCCAGAAATAAAATTACAGAGCAGCCCAAAATAAATGTTCCCTTGAAGCCCCTTGCTTAGCTAACCCATCCGCTAAGGTATTTGCTGATCTTCCCACCCGAAGAGAGGTAACAGTCATGCTTTTTGTGAGCCAGTTGACTTTCCTTAACAGGTTTCTGTGTCGCCACATAGCTGAAGCTGGGTCTGTCAGCCATCCCACAGCAATCTTAGGTCCCCTTCAACTACCAAATGCTGAACTCCTAATTGCTCTGCAATCTGAATACCTTGTACCGCCGCTAACATCTCAGCTCTATTGGATTCTCCTATTCCCACGGGGCCTGAAAACAATGCTAATATGTTGCTCTCCTTATCTCTCAGCACCCCTCCTATCCCCGATGGGCCTGGGCTTCCTTGGCTGCTTCAATCAAACTTCAGCTTTGCCCATCCTTTAGGCAGAGGCATCTAGTTAGCCACCGCTAGATTCTTCTTACCAATATTATCTATTCCTAAACCCCCTTGTAAGGAACAACACATTGCTATCTTCATTATATGAAGTAAGGAACAACACATTGCTATCTTCATTATATGAAGTAAGGAACAATATATTGCTATGTATATTATATGATCCTATATGTCATAAAGGATATAGCACAGAACTTAAAAACAACATACGATGAGACATCTGCTTTGCAACTTCTCTCACATAAGAGGACACTAAACTTGTAAGCAATTCTGGCATCGAATAAAGGTGTCCCCTAGAAAAATGCCTTGATGTCTAAGTGCCAGCTTAAATAACACGGAAAGTGAGAAGTGCAACTAAAGCACAAGGGTTGCATTTTGGGTGGGCTTAGGTTGAGCATTTAAAGGGTTGCATTGGAATTTCTTTAAATCAAGTGCCCAATTTTCGCCCCTAGGTTAAGTTGTTTCAATGCCTGCCCACATTGTGCACCCATAAGAAGTTTGGACTTTACTTTGCTCCCATCCATAGAAATAAGGAAAAAACTTTGTACTTCAAAAATGCCCTTTTTGCATATTTAACTGTCAATATTCCTGTGCCGATGACCCAGTCATTGAGATGGATGCTTGGCGTGGAGTAGGATCAAACTGTGGAACTGCAGGCTCTCTATGGTATGGCTAGTGGGCCTCATGTGCACTCTGCTTTATCCGCACCCCTGATTCCCCTCTAATGTGTATGTTGTAATACCAGAAAAAATGTTAATATTCATGTAGCTGATCCCTTACCCTGTTTTGCCATCCCATTTTGTTTGTGTTTAATTTGTTAATTTTCACATTGTCCAGATATATGACCCTTAAGAAGGTTTATAAGAGGGGAGTGGTGAAGGATATAAATCAAGCTGCAAAAATGGCTGAGCCGGAAAACAAAGATCTGATTTTGGGTGCATTTTTTTAGAGGAGAGAAGCAAAGAAGCTATCATGGAGGTGATTTTTACCCCAGAGTGGTACACTGGCTGAAGCCTTTGGAACTCTTTCGAGATTTCTCAATGGATGATCTGTGAAGAAGTGGGAGAGCAGTTACCATTCTCAGCCCTGGTTAGGGAGGCCTAGGTCCTGTCTTGGACCCCTCCTCCCAGTGGTTTTCTTGAGCTGAACTTTAAGGCTCCATTTGGTTTGTGGGAATATTTGAGTGGGATGGGATGGGAAAGTGTAAAAATTTACCTTTCCATTGTTTGGTTTTATATATGGGAAAATAATAGGAAAAACACTGTAACGGGTTCTTCACCGGAGCTGAGAAAGCAGATCTCCATGAGTTGCAGCAGCAAGAGTTGCCGAGAGTTGAAGAACAGAGCTCCATGAGTTGTAATGGCGAGAGTTGAGAAAGCAGATCTCCATGAGTTGCAGTGGCGAGAGTTAAGAAAGCAGATCTGGTGAAGATGGGAAGAATAGGAGTGCTGAGAAAGCAGATAGTTGCTGCCGAGAGTTGCAGCGGCGATCAGAGAAAGGGAGGAAGACGAGAAGAAGAAGAATAAGATGGAGGGAGAAGAGGAAGATGGAGGGAGATCGCCACTGCCCCTTGCACTGGTTCCTTGCCAGCATCTGGTATAGAAGAAGGCCAGTAACAGTGGTTCTTTTGATGGTAACAGTGGTTTCTCAAGTTTTTCCACCGGGGTTGCACGGTTTTGGTGTGACCCCAAATCCACGATTTTGGGATCTGACATCCCACATTTTTCTCATCCCATCCCTCTATTTCCCTCAAAACAAATGAGAGAAAAAGGAATATTTTTGGAATATTCCCTTTTTCTCATCCCCATCCCACAAACCAAACGGTGCCTGAGGGAAGCAGTGCTGGAAATCCAGGCCCTTGGGCATTGGGGGCGTGATAAGGAATGAGAAAGGGAATTTAGTTGCTTTTTTCTCAGGATCAATTGGAGTAGGTGACTCCCTTAGGGCTGAGATTCTAGCAGCCTTGGAAGGTGTACAAAGAGCCAAGGAGCTGAACATTAGCAAACTGATAATAGAAGGGGATTCCAAACTGGTGGTGGGTTGGTTGAAGGAGAAGCAGATGGACTGTGGGCTTACAGTAATGAAAAGAAGAAATTTCAAGTGGCTGACTCAGGGCATTGAAGTTAAAATGTTCTGGGGCAAAAGAAGTGCCAATTCCTTTGCTGATGGGTTAGCCAAACAAAGGGTGAATAGGGTGGCATTGTTTTGGGCTCAGTTGTAATTTATCTGGCTTGTTTACAGTTTTTTTTGGGGAGAGTAAAGAGAGCTTACCTCTCCCTTTTGTACCTTTTTTTAATGAAATTGATAAAAAAAAAGAGCTGATTAGTGCTGGAAAGAAGTCCAGCTTGTATTGGCATGGGTTTTAGTTGGAAATGAGCTGGATAGGGGTTGTAATCTTGTGATATGTATGTGGTCATCTTTTGGGAACTACACGTTGGTGCTGAAGTTCTTGGGGTGGGAGAAGTTGTTGCTACATTTGATGCTGAACCGAGATTGAGGGAGATGCTTTGTTTTGTGTGCTTGGTATTGATTTCAGTTGACCCTAGTTGAGCTATTACATTCAAGGTGCTAGTTTTTCATTTATTTTTTATTTTTCTATTTTTATAATCAGCAACATCAGATTGGGATTTATTAATGTGGGGAGAGAATTTATAATGATGATAAATTACGAACAAAAATGTTTACTAACATCCCCTGATACTGAGCACCATCTCCCCTCTCCTCTCCCCACAAATTAAAAGTCAATTACCCAATGTTGTCCCAGCTCTCTGGGTTCTTGATGTGTGTGTTTGTGGGGGAGGGGGGACTGGATATAGACCTATTTTGCTGTACAATGTGGCATTGTGTCTGCTAAGTCATTTGCCGATTTTTTGTGCCCATCTAGATATTTCATTTAGCTTTCTAGCCAGAGATCACTTCTAATGTGTTGATGTTGCCAAGGCTGTCTTGGACATTCTATTACCATTTGAGGATCCCCTTCCATCTCAAGGTTGTTATGCTTAAGAGACCATTCCAATTTTAGTTTTATCCAAGACTTTTCATTGTATGGAAGGTGCTTGGACCTATCAGGTCTGATATGGGTTGCTTTCTCTAGGTAACTTGGTAGCTGAATGATCCTCATAGCACAACAAACTACATCTGGTGTATATTCCTATTGTGCATAAAAGAATTCAGAAATCCTTTTGTTTTAGCATTGCCTAACTTCCAGATCGTTCTGTTAGGCAACTTAATTGTTGGGTGCCATGCATGTAGCCCTAGGCAAATGGTTTGTCCCATTAGGTCATAACTTTTGTGATATTTTGGATTTCATCAACTTCACAATTTTGGATATTTTAAATATTAACTTTTTTTTGAAGAAATATATGAACTAATTTTGTTGCGTACTGTGCTCTGAACTAACCTTTTCACTGTTTATTATCCATGCATTCAGTACTCCAATGGTTGCAAACATTACCATTACATTTTGATACAACCTAGACCTAAATTAGTGCTGAAACTTCGAATTAATACTTTGGTCTTGCCCTGTGCATGTTTCACGTGCATGGGTAGTGTCTGTGTCTCTTAGTTGACAATAATCTGGGGTTTAGGGGCCATATATTTTCTTTGAATTATTTTCTTCATCGGAAGTGACATGCAATATCTTCTAACTATTGGCACTTTGGGAAATGTCATGCAACTAAGGCATTTTTCCACTGAATGGAAACCATCTGTGTTTGCAGATGCATGAATGTACTGCACATGTGACCAAGGTTCAAAGTATCGATACGGGGCGTATTGTATCATAGCTTTGGGTCCCCGATACCTGTTGACAGGTGTTTTCAGGAACCCTTTTTTTTATAAAATAATATATAAAAATATGTTTAAAACTGAAATTTGAAAAAAAAACTAAAAAAATAAAAAGGCGTATGATTTAAAGTACCGATACACCTCTGCCCATAGACAAAGGTGTATCGATACTTTGCACCATGCATGTGACAGCCTTTGGAGGAGAAAGAATGGATAAAATTGCTTCAGCAAGCACAACAGGATGGTCTGGACTATGGATCTTCTCCAGAACCTGATTGTGCAATTTCAAGCATTTCCTTACTAGTTCTATCCTAATATTATTTACCAATTTCTGTACTTCTTGACCTTATCCGTGTTTTCTCACTAGACATGTTTCCTGGATATATCTTTCTTTGCTCCCTTTTGTTTTTCCTTTGTGGGTGTTCATACTTTATTTGTTTTCTCAATAAGTTCTATGATTACTCTAGTCGGAGTACCTTTCCATCACATAGATAAATTGGTTATTTATTTAAATACTAATAACATCTAAACACAGGATTTGTTGTCATCTATGTAGGAGGTTCAACGAGGAAGAGGGATTTCTTCCAGTCTACAGATCTATGGGCAAAAACCTACAATTGAATATGGTGAACATGATTCTGATCATGGTGAGGTTATTTCTCCACGAGTTGTAGTGCAGAGGTTAGATTCACAAGGAGCTTCAACCCATTCTTCAGTTGGAAGTGCCGAAAGGTTGCTCCCTACAAAAATTAGACTCACAAGACCCTCTTCTCCAACAATTGGGCCTGCTAGGTCTTTGTCACCATCTAATGATGGGTTTTCTGTAGATAATTCTCCTAGAAAAGTTGTTGATAGGGTCTCACCATCTCATTCTGGGTCCATATATGGACCTAGGAGAATGACTGATAATGATGGTGAGAGAAGTTACCAGTGGTTAAAACACTGGCCCAGCAAAAAGGATCAGAAAGTGGAAACTTCTAGTATGTACAATATCTTCTCCAACATTGATGCTTGTGGAAATTTCCTAGGGAAAAACGTACTCAATGAGAAACATTCAATAATCAAACAGCTTGATGTAAATGGCATAAAAAGCAAGGAGGCTGCAACAAGATGGCAGAATACTGAAGAAGAAGAGTATATCTGGGAAGATATGAGCCCAACTTTAGCGGATCGTAATCGGGGCAATGATATCAGGCCACAGAATTCCCCTTTTAGTAGCATAAGCAGAAGAAATGGTTTGGGAAGACCAAGTGCTGCAATTTTGGAACCTGATTTCAAGAAGGGCAATTGGCCTGACCAGGTTCACTTCTCTGTGCCGGATGATTCTGCCGCTTTTGCTGGAGATGTGGTTTCGATCTTGGGTGTATGCCTCTTCAACTTTTTGACCTTCCACTTCTTTTTGTTAGTAAACATTTTTACTGAATGACAAGAACCCAGAACTGCTTGGTGTCTTGTATTAGTATGGTCAAAATCCAATCATTGTTTCGTTGCAACTGTCCATCTTTACTTTACTTCTTACTTTTGCAATGATATAAAAAGTAGCATATGCACATACAAAATTGTTTACCCATCTGATTGTGTCGATATAAAAATTTTATGTATGCTCTTCAATTTTTTGACTATGTATTTCTCTTTTCGTTAGTAAACATTTTTACTGAATGACAAGAACTCAAAACTGGTTAGTAGCTTGTATTACTCGTGGTCAAAGTCCAATCATTATTCTGTTGCAACTATCCATGTTTACTTTATTTCTTTGGCAATGTTGCAAAGAGCATTTGCATTTGCAAAATTGTTTACCCAAGAGCAACCAATCATCTGATTGTGTTGATATCAAAATTTGATGTAGTAGGACTACAAAACTTTAGTTCTCTTACGTGTAATCACGAGTTTTCCATAATTTTTTTTTCTTGTTGCAATTGAAGTGTATCATGCTGTTCCATACGCCCACAGTTAGAGCTCTGCACAAATATTTTGGTTTGCGCCCCATCTCATAATAGCAAGGTTCTTTTAATTTTAAGGCTTTCCCTTTTTGGTTGGTATTTAATAAGTATCTGGGGTTTTCTTCGGATCCAAAGCTGGCATTAGTTCTCTTTTGACAATTGAGTGACCGATTATAAACATGTAATATTCTTTGGGTTTAGTAATTGAGACATGGAAATGTCCTTTATCATTTCTTATGTGCCCAAGAAAATGAGCTCCATTTGTTACCTTACAATTTAAAATGTCGTGTATTTCTTGCAGTCTGGCCATTTTTCTATGGGTAAGAAGCCTCTCAGTGGTCCAGGAATTCGAAATGAATCAACTCAGGTTCAGTGTTCTCATTATCCTCATGAACCTCGGAATTTTCTTCATCGCTTCCCTCAACCTTTACAAGAACATCTTGATCCCAAAGCTAGAGGAACAGCTGTCCAGATGACATTTCCAGCAAGTCGAATAGTTGCACCAGCCAGCCAGAATGTGCCTTCTCAGATTGATAAGTTTCCAGATGCTGATGTACAACCGCCAAGATTCTCAAGAATAGGATCTTCAGGAGCCACTTCTTTGAATGTGGAGGTTCCATCTGCTGTGATGCCAGCTTCTACATTGCTGAAGCATGTGGAACAAAGACCTTCCTTGGCTCCACCTATCTGGCCTCTTGTAAATGTGTCTAAATCTCATCAACCCTGTTTGCTCCCAGTTATTCCTCAACAGAACCAGATTAAGAGTCAGTTTGATATAATGGATGTTAATAACCCAGTCAAGGGTCAAATCCCCAAGAAGCCCTTGACTTTGCCTGTGCAGCACTTGGATGGTATTGAAAGAAATGTGCTGCAGTTTGCTAATCAACAGGCTGGGTTGATTTCTTTGAATCAGCAATACCAGGGTCATGCCTCTCTTTTACAGCAACAACTACTTCTGTCTCAGAATGCTCAAGAAAATTTGGTTCCACCTGCCACTTCTCGGATTTCATCTCACATGATGGAACAATTCTTGAGTAATGGACATATGCGACAAGGTCATGGACCTGTTGTTAGTTCAATTTTGTCTAATTCAATACCTGGGATACCACCATCATCTGTAACTAGTCATGGTATTTCAAATACTCGCTTCCATTTGCAGGGCCAGGCCTTGCCTCCTCTACCTCCAGGACCCCCACCCGCCTCATTGCAAATGGGACCCATAACTCAAAATGTGGGTCCCATCGCATCTCATCCATCTACTGGGAGTGCATTTTCAGGTCTGATTGGTTCTCTCGTGGCTCAGGGTTTGATCTCATTGACAGCACTAGCTCCAGTCCAGGTACCTTAATTAACTAATGACCCTTGTGTTTTAGTTATCTTTATTGGATGTAGTTTTTGGTCATGTATTAAACTAGGGTATCTCAAGCAAGCAAATCCATTCTTTCAGGACTCTGTAGGAGTTGAGTTCAATCCAGATCTTCTTAAGGTGCGGCATGAGTCTGCAATAAAGGCTCTCTATGATGATCTTCCAAGGCAATGTACAACATGTGGATTACGTTTCAAGTGCCAAGAGGAACACAGTACTCACATGGATTGGCATGTGACCAAGAATCGGATATCTAAGAACCGCAAGCAGAAGCCCTCTCGCAAGTGGTTCATAACTACCAGTGTGTGGCTCAGTGGTGCAGAGGCATTGGGAACTGATGCGGTTCCTGGGTTTTTGCCCACTGAAGCCATTGTAGAGAAGGATGACAGTGCTACGGCTGTTCCTGCTGATGAGAATCAGAGCACATGTGCACTGTGTGGGGAGCGTTTTGATGATTTTTATAGTGATGAAACGGAAGAATGGATGTATAAAGGGGCTGTCTACTTGAATGCACCTGATGACCCAACAGCAGACATGGACAGATCCCAGCTAGGCCCAATTGTGCATGCAAAGTGCAGATCTGAATCCACATTAGTTCCCTCTGAAGATTTTGGGCTAGATGTAGGGTTATACTTCAAACTCGCCTCCTCTCCCGCACCTGTTTCTTTTGTCCCTTTCTCTTTGCTTTTATGATATGGGTTATTTGCTTTTGTTGACAGATTTTTAGTATCAATTTGGAAGGGGTACAAATACAAATATGTACAGTGTAAAACCTTGCATTTTGTAATTATTTTATATGTATTTGTATTGTACATATTTGTATTTGTACTCCTTCCAAACTGAGCCCTAATAATATTTCTTGTGTTTGCAATTAGATGTATGGCTTTTTGGCTACAAAATTTAATCTTTCTGGTATAGTAGAAAGTCTAAATGAGCATTTGTTCAGAAGTAAATAATTTATTTGCTGTAGGGGTGCTCACGGTTTGGTTAACTGAGCCATGAGCTAAGTTTTGAAACCAAACTGGTACCACCTGTTTTTTGAAAAACCGGGAACCGAAACTGAACCAAAACCAATTGGTTAACTGATTGATCGGTTTGGTTCATCAATTTCTCGGTTTTTTTATATTTCCAATATATATTATAAAAATATATAAATATATATATATATATCATATTATAAGTAATATATAACATATAAATATGTATATTCTATATGAATATAAATATACTCTATATTTTAAGTGTCTATTATATAATCTATACCAGTCGGTTTGGTTAACCACCAGTTTTCTTTGAGATTAACCAAAAACTGAACCACCGGTTTTTTGCAAAACACCAAACCAATTTCAGTTTGGTTTTTTGGTCTTGTTGAGCACCCTAATTTGCTGTTCTTACTATATTTTTCTCAACAATGATAGTTTTTTTAATGCTTGTAGCCTGTGGCCAGGACAATGTCTTATGGCATCTGAAAGCTTATTGTAACCTTACAATGCTTACAACCTTATCAGACATCCAATTTTAGTAGTTTGCAATATTCTTCTGTGCTTGTACCCCCTCCCCTCGTTTTCTTCTTTTTCTTTTGTCATTTTCCCCTCTTCTTATCCTTCTTTGTACCTCTCTTGGAAAATTTTATTTCTTCACATTTAAAGATGTTGTGACTGTTGGTCAACCAATTTCAAAATAATGAATTTTCTTCTATTGATGATTGCAGGGAAATGCTGGAGAGGGTAGTGAAAGAAAAAGGATGCGGAGTTAGATTAGAATACCGGCATTAGTCCTGTGTAAATTATACCGAGTTTCTTCATGTTTGCGGTATGCTTTTCTAATTTTCTCCCTCGTTCTGGAGCCTGTGAGCTATGACATCATACCATGCATAAGCATGTACATGTAAAGTTGGGCCCTGTAACATGCAAATTCTCTTTCCCCAAAAGCGTAAAAAGTTTTCCCTTCACAGTTGTATTTTGTCTTCTTTTATGTTTTCCATGTTATTTTACAACTAATGCACGCTTCAAGGTTCCTTGATGAGCTGTGCTTGCTTGCAGACATTATCCAAATTACAGGTTCTTAGATCACCTAAAAAAGCACATATAAACTTAATGAACAGGCTATTTTTATCAAATCACCATTACGGGGCAGTTTGCTGGAAAACTTTCTGCTGTTTGATATGATTTTCTGCAGGAGGGATGTCTAGAACGGTGAGTTACTAGCGCAGTTTCCCACTTGGCAAAACCTTTCAACTTTCAGATTCAGGCTGACGGATTAGTGATGGTGGAATCTATAGCGTAACATCACCACCAGCATCTCTAGATTTTCCCAATTTTATTTTTTTATTGTCTACCTTTTATATTGTTGTCCATTTATTGGTAACAAACATGAGTAGAAATGCTTTTATTTTATGGTGTGTAAGGTACTTTCTTTCTTTTCTTTGCTTCCAATTGGCACAATGATCCTTGTTGAACAGTTTTCATGTTTCCGTGCATATTCTGTGATTTTCTTTCTGGCTAGTCTACAAGCTTTTGAGGAAGAAATGCTAAAATCCTCTGCGACGACCGACTATTGGCGAAGTTCCTCTGCGCATATACCTGTGACTGTGATTATGTTTTTGAAACTTTGTTGATAATTGAATATGGCTTTTCTGCTACGTATTTAGATTTTTTGCACCATGTTTGTCATGTAGAGAAGCGTTTGTGTGTGTGTAGAGAATGGATTGAGATTGGACGAGGTACCCTCTCACAAGGTTAGGCACGTAATCAGTGGAATGGCCGAATGGGTCTTGGGCCGTATGGGCCCCCGGATGGGGATTTCGGTAAACAGTACCTCAATGATTGATCAATGATCAATCAATTCTCTGCCGCATGGAGAAGGCTGAAGACAAGGCCCTTCACCCCAAAATTTCCTCCATCCGTCCATTTCTTTTTGTTTTTTTGTTTACTTTAAACCGATAATTTATAATTTGATCTTATTTTATAATTTACTTATCATGTGGTCTTACATGAAATCTATCAGAAAATTTAATATTAATTTCCACCTTTGTACTGTTAAGCAACATAGGGCAGAATGACTTCACGCAACTCTCAGCCGTGCATTGAAACATTTTCTGTACTTGTAGTTATGTGAAGCATGTTCTGTGAGTAGCAAATCCAATTTTGCGTCCGAAACTCCTCACAGCATGCTTTGCACCACCTTCACAGCACTTGCAGTGGCATATTGAGAATATCTTTCCTACATATATTTTGTCATTCATGAGCATATTGAGAATATCTTATACGGAGAAGTACACCGCAGTCCAATTAGAGGTGTAAAACGGGCCGTAAGGGCATGTGGGCGGCTTGTGCAAAGTGTGGGCCATGATGTGCTGGCCCATGGGCCATTTTGGGCCATGCCGCCCTCCTCTGGGATAACTTGAGGGGTTGGCTCAGCACGACCCATGGCCTAAGCCTGTGTGAGCTTGTGTTGTGCCGCATGCCAGGTTGGCATGTGGGTCAAGTCTTGGATTAGGTTGGGCCGTGGATCAAGCTAAATTTATTTATTTAAAAAATGAAAAAAAAAACTTAAAATTTTAATTTTATATGAATTTTGATGTATACAATTGCTTATATTAACGTTTTAAAAAATAATTCGGAAACGGAACCGTTTTGGCACCTGTTTCCGAGTCGTAGTTTGATCGTCTAGTTCAAACAAACGGTCCGTTCTGACAAACAAATTAAAAAATTAAAAAAAATAATTAAAAATAAAAAATGATCAATTGTTGAACGGGTTGATGGGTTGGCGGTTCGATTGCCTGGGTCAATGGGTTGTTGACTTTTTCAACGGTTTTTGGTCAAAAATTGGGTTTGGGGTAAAATGGAACTGGTTGTTTGAATGGTTCTTGAGCCAAACGGTCCAACCGTCTAGGTCAACGGCGGTTCGAAAACCTTGGCTTATATATACAATAATTAAATAAAGGATAAATTTCTTAAACTACCTTTATGGTTTAGTGAATTGACTAAAAAAAGACTATTTTACCCATCTCCACTGCCCTCTCTCAACCTGTATTCTCTCTCCCCTTTTGACCTCCACTCTCCCTTCTCTCAACCTGTACTCTCTCTCTCTCTCTCTCTCCCTGCCCCCGCTCTCCCTTGTTCCACCGCCCAAGCTACGTCTGAGCGCAGTGGATGAAATTTCAATTCCATCCATACTCCCTCTCACTCTCTCTTCTTTCTCCCTCATCTCTCCCATGAATAGAGGAATCGATTAACTAGATCCAAAACCCAAAATGTTGGTTGTGGATTTGAACAGAGGTTGACTTCAACGTTTTAGGACCAGTTGTATGTTGCCAACGAAGGAAAAAATGACGCTGATTACATGAAAGACAATGTTGCCGATGAAGGACCAGTTGTAGGTGACGACAATTGCTGCACGATTAAGAGTGCTGGTTCAATGCTTGGGTGAGGTGGAGAACCTCGTCACCTCTGGTTCAACATTGTAATAGAGATCATGAACAGGGTATCAGGCAAGAGGTTGAGGACGATGGATGAATAGTGTTTGATGAACTATGCCAAAATCTGATTTGCGAGGAGGTATAAAATCTCACTGCCTCAGATAATGAACTGAGTATCAGATTTACGGGAGATTGGGGACGATGGATGAATAGTGTTTGATGATGAACAATGCTGAAATCAAAATTACGAATTTGTAGACAGGCATGGTGAGGCTTCGTTGTCCAGGAAGGAGAGAGAGAGAGTTCGATGATGAACAATGCTGAAATCAAAATTACGAATTTGTAGACAGGCATGGTGAGGCTTCGTTGTCCAGGAAGGAGAGAGAGAGAGTTCGATGATGAACAATGCTGAAACCAAATTTACCAATCAGTAGACAGGCATGGTGAGGTGTGAAAATCCAAGCATGAAGAAAATTCCAGAAGATAGAGGAAAAAATTCTCTGTATTACTTCAGCTAAATTGTACAAAGTGCAAGACTACTATTTATACAAGAAATGAACCTATACAAAGCTGCCACGTAATAATTCCAGCTCAGCTATCCTACTAACAAACTAACTAACTTGTATAACAGACTAACAGCTAACTAATAGCAGTAACAAACTTGATAACTGCTCAAGAATAAATAATATATATTCTGTACATCCCCCCTCAAGTTGGAGATTGAGTTTGATGTAAATCAACCAAGCCCAACTTGGAAACAATAGAATGAAACTGAGGGCCAGCAAGACTCTTAGTAAAAGCATCTGCAAGCTGCAATTTAGTAGAAATGTGCTTAGGAAAAACAAAACTAGCTTTATACTTATCACGAACAAGATGACAATCAATCTCTAGGTGCTTTGTACGTTCATGGAAGACTGGGTTGGCAGTAATATGTAAAGTTGCCATGTTATCGCACCAAAGAGGGATTGGCAAAGGAGGGCTGACTTGAAAATCCTGCAAAATATAACTAATCCACTCGAGCTCACGAACAGAAGAAGCAAGGCTTCTATATTCTGCCGCAGCTGAAGACCTGCTGACAGTGGATTGTTTCTTAGTCTTCCAAGAAATGAGAGAAGACCCCAAATATATGTAGTAACTAATGAGTGACTTGCGGGACTCCTTACATGCAGCCCAGTCTGTATCACAAAAGGCTTCAAGGGACAGATTATTATTAGATGAGCAAAACAAACCTCTGGAAGGTGTACCCTTGAGATACTTGAGAACATGATGCCAATGATCTTGAGTAGGAGAGTGCACATATTGACTAAGTTGTTGGACAACATAAGATATGTCTGGCCTGGTGAGATTGAGATACAACAATCTACTAACTAACCTGCGATATTTCTCTGGTTCATCCAAGTAACTACCAGTAGAAGAAAATTTTTGCCCCTTTGGCAATGGTGTAACAACAGGTTTAGCTCCAAGAAGGCCTACATATTGCAAAATATCTAACACATATTTTCTTTGATTGACATAAGTTCCATCAGAACCCCTTGCAATTTCAAGGCCTAAAAAATATTTAGCATACCCCACGTCTTTAATGGTAAACGTGTCATGAAGAAACTGTTTGGCCTTCTTAATCTCAAACTCATGAGTCCCAATAACAAGAACATCATCTACATACACTAATAAGGCTAAAAATGAAGTAGAAGTCTTCTTAGTGAAGAGACAATGATCATGTGCACTCTAGACAAACCCATAAGCTTGAAGTTTAGCACAAAACTCAACATTCCATTGGCGAGAAGCCTGCTTTAAACCATACAAAGACCTTTTTAACAAGCAAACTTCATTTGGCTTAGCTTTAGTATAGCCTGGAGGTGGTAGCATAAAAACTTCTTCATCAAGATAACCATGTAAAAAATGCATTATTTATATCTAATTGATGCAAAGCCCAATTCCTAGCAGTAGCTATAGCCAGGAAGATCCTCACTGTAACAAGTTTTTCTATTGGAGAAAAACTATCCGAGTAATCTACCCCTTCAATCTGATGATACCCCTTTGCTACCAACCTTGATTTGTACCTATCAACAGTACCATCTAGGAGATATTTCACTTTATAAACCCATTTGCATCCGATTGCCTTTTTTTTGTGGTAGGCTAAACAATTCCCACGTATGATTAGATTCTAGATTCTGAAACTCCTTATTCACAGCCTCAATCCATTTTTCATTTTTGCTTGTTTGATAATATGAACTAGGTTCAGGAATAGAGGACACAATGGCAAGAAATGACATGTATGCATTTGTGAATATAGGTGATTTAGTGTAAAGAAATGTTGGTGGTGTGTGGGCAGAAGAATTAGGTGTATAGGCTGTAACATAAGTTGTAATAGCAGTAGATAAATTTGTAGGAACTGACACATTAGATACATAATCACTCATCCATGCTGGTTTGAATCTTTGTCTAGTACTGTGTCTTATGGTAGGAATAGGAACATTTGAAGAAACAGAAACAGGAGAATGATACAATTCAGGTGAGGAATGAACTGGTGTCAAAAAACTGTTGAGACTGTAAATCAATGTCAACAGAAGAAGGTTCAAAAGAAGAAGGAATATCTTGAACAATATTCTGATTCAAAGTAGCTGGTGTCAAAGAATTTTATGGGAAATTAACTGGATCATGGAAAGGAATAGACAAAGACACTTCATCGTTGTCATCAATAATATTTGCAAAAGGAAAAATAGTCTCATGAAAAATCACATCTCTTGATGTATAAAACTGATGAGAATCTAAATCATAAATTCTATAAGCCGTGACCTGTCACAAATTCTACAAATACACACCTATATGCCCTTGTTTCAAATTTATCCTTATGTGGCCTAGTATTAGTAGCATAGCATAAGCACCCAAAGTACTTTAACAAGTTATAATCTGGTTTTTGATTATGAAGAAGCTCATAAATGGTTTTCCAACCTAAGATACTGGTAGGCAGCCTATTGATGATGTATACAGCCATCAAAAGTGAATGACCCCAAAATTTTGTAGGCATATGTGCCTGAAACATGAGAGCTCTAGCTATCTGTAATAGATGTTTATGCTTCCTTTCAACAATACCATTTTGTTTAGGAGTATAAACACAACTCTTTTGATGTAAAATTCCTAACTGAGACAAAAAATTTTGGCACTCTTGACTAGTAAATTCAGATCCATTATCTGTCCTAATACATTTAACTTGTTTATGAAATTGAGTTAGTATCATTTGAAAGAAAGTTTTTAAAGTCTGTAAGATTTGATGCTTGTGAGCAAGCAAAAAAGCCCAAGTTGCCCTGCTATAATCATCTACCACAGTAAGCATGTAATGTGCCCCAGTGATAGATGCTTGCTGATAAGGTCCCCACAAATCAATGTGTAAAAGATCAAAAACAGAA